CTCCTCAAGGTCTGCAGAACTCCCTGACCATGTTTCCTAGGAAGATCAGGGCTGAATAACAATAAAAACTAACATCTGTAGCATACTGCGTCCGTCTTACAAAACCCTTTTCCACCCATGGACTCGATCAACCTTGTCACTAAATCAAGTATATGCTCCCACTGTAATTATTATGAGCCCCTTTCCAAGTGAGGAAACTAGGTCTCAGAGCATTTAGCTAACTTGCCCAAGGCCACTCTGCTTGGAAGCAGTAGACTTCCTCTAAATCTAAGTTTGCCAATTCCAAAACCTGCCCTCCTTTTCTGCCCTTTGATCAGCTGGCTTGAAACTGGAGAGCACTGTGAGATCAGGAGAAGGTGGGAGGAGGTGGACTATGCTGTCCTTCTTTACTACCAGGGTCCGTTTCTACAGATAACTTCAGCTGGGCCCGTGCAGTGCCCACAGACCTGGAAGCCCCACCAGCCAGGGTCCTCAACTGCTTCTAGCCAGAGGCCAGGGCATCCCCAAGTCAGTTCTGCATTGCAAACACCAGCATCTCTGAAAACAAAGCACCTTCATGCTCAGAAAATATGTCCAAATCTCACCCACTTCAAAGTCAAGACCAAAAAAGTGAACAGAACAAAGAGATATTATCCCCTTTCTTATAAATCAAACCATTACAAATCTGCTGTACATGGTAAATCCTGTCAGAGGATTTTAGAGTGACTCCAGTTTACACTAAATACTATTATGCACTTGTTTCTCTTATAGGGGCGGGGCAGGGTGAGGGGTGCGCACAGTGCTGACCATTGATTTGTTCCTGACTTGTATGGAACCTGAGCTCCTTAGTCATCTCTGAATCCCTCATCTAGTTAGTGCGTAGCCTGTAGTCAGTGCAAAGTTATGGTTTCCAAAATTGTGTAAAAAAATGAGTAAATAAATATATGGATGAGTAAGTAAATAAATGAATAGTGAATGAGCAAACAGAAAAATGCACAGGTAGAGGAATATTGGTGGAGTTGGTGAATCAATGAGTATATGAACAGGGCATTTCTCTCAAGACCTGTGCAAGGACAGTGTATTATAGATGCAGAATTGACGCACTTTGATACCCCTTAGAGCCCACTTCATTACAACCTCTCCTCAGTGGTGGGCAGAAGGCCTTCTGTCCCGTGAGAGGAGAGGGTGTGCATGTGCTCTCTTGAGCAAACAAAAAAAGACTTAAAAACAAAACTTTGAGAGAAAAAAAAGAGACTTTGTTAAACTCCCTTAGCTCCTATTGAAGCTTCTGGAGCTAAGCCTATTGGAACAGCTCAGAGAGGCTTTCCGTGGAGTAGAGAAGACCCGCCTTCTGCCCGGGACATCTAAGTCATAAGGCTTATGCTGAGTTGTAAAGGAGGAGATGCCACAGGGACCCACGGGGCAGTGGGAGGGGAAGGGCCACAGAGACAGGGCAAGACGATTTTCAGGTGTATATTCTTCTCCATTTGCCCTCTGCATGTTTGCTGGGCCAGGCTGGAACAGCTAACCCCCTAGGAAGGCCCCACAAGTTGGGGTGCATTCCTGCCTCTCCCCCTGTGCCTACATGCTGTCTTGGAGAGGAGCCAGAGAGGAGAACAGAAGCCTGAAAAATTTTAGACACTGAGCATTCACTGTTCCTGGAGAAACTGAGCATTACTTAAAAGGAATACTGTGCTACTGAATTGAAATAAGGCTTAAACCAGGGTGGACATTTATGATTTTTTTCCCTCCTTCTGCCCAGTGGATGGCAGCTCTTAAGGAAGATTAAGTTAAATACTACAGAAACTACACTTTCCCTCCATAAATAAGTTCTGTGAGTAAAATATCCAGTCCTGCTACAAGTGCTACACCATCCCTTTCTGTCTGGCCACTAATTCTTTTTTAGCTATGAGCCCAAACCAAGAATGGGCACCAAGCCACTTCAGTTGGTGCAAACTAAGGCTGCCCACATGTAGTTTAAATAAGGTGGCCATGTGATTTATCACCCATACCAGGACACTTGTGCATGGAAGAGGGGGTGATTAATAATTAAGCTGGAACAAAAGACCTAAATGGGAACTGTCCCAGGTACCCAAGGATGCATGTCATCCAAGGGTTAAGGAAGACATAGGAGGTGGGTGGGAACAAGGACTAGCCGTCATCCTATCCTGGGGGCCTAAGCACTTAACAGGAGAAAACTAGCAAAGCAGCTCTGGAACACACAGTATAGAGTGAACTGGAACTTAGACAATAGAAAACTAGAAATATGTAGGCACATGCATGCGTGTGTGTTGCCAAGTAGTTGGTCTGATGTGGCCACAATGAAGAAAGTAACTAACAAGTCTAAGGGCTGTTTGTGAATGAGGCTCCCTGTAAGCCACAGCTTCCCCACAGCTGGAGCGCACAGGGATGGCACCCGGAGTACCAGGCCACCTGCTCACTCACCTGATACTGTGGTAAGGTGGAGAGATTGGTGAATACAGGAGGTGGCGCATAGTTCAGGTTGAGCCAGAGTGGCTGGGTCAGGGGTGTGGCGGAGGGCAAGGCTGTGGCACAGTGTGGGGTGAAAACCTTCCCCGTGTGCTTGAGGTTGTTCTTGGCAGCCACCATCACAGGCGTGTTAGCTGTAAGTCACAGGAGAGGGAGAGCATTTCAGGGCTTGAGGAAGGAGCGGCCAGGATGCCTGCAGCACCCTGACTGGCCCCAGGGTTCATGTTTTCAGAGGCCATGTCTTTTGAGCTCCAAGAGGGTCCTTCACAGTTCGGGTGAATTTCCAACTAGAGGAAAACATCATTAGTTCACACCTGGCCAGTTTGGAAGGGGTGACAGCCCCAGCATGGCCTGGCGTGGAGCTTCTCTCGCCATCATTCCCTACCAAAGGAGGCAATTTAGCAAGACAATGCACCAGACCAGACAGTGAGGGCTGAACGTCACCAACATACAAAACCAAATTCTTTCAAGTGCTGTAGAAAAATCCAGTTTTATATAAACAATTGCTATGCCATCGGAACTCATTCTTACCGAATTATTAAAGCAACCTCCTGAGCACATGTGCTCTGCAACACTGAGGACCGTGCACAGGTTGGTGTATCTATATTGGGATCATTCTTTAAAGTACTTAAAACACTATATAATATGTTTGGTGTAACCCAAATTAGGTTGATTGAGATTTGGTTGTTTCAGGATATGAATCCTGGATTCTCACCTCAGAGGTATGTCCTGGGGTCTTACAGAATCAGAGATGGGACCTCAGTTTCCCTTATTGTCATCTTTTTTGGGGAAGGAGTTTTGACAGAAACAGTTGTAGGAGGGCAAGGGAGAGAAAGCAGGGACACAGACAATCTTGATGGAGAAACAACTTCAAGGACAGATTTTTGTTTGGTGTGGGCAACCTGAAGGGATGACATATGCTGGGTCAGGACTGTATTCAGACTGACCACTAAAAACGCCCATGTGAACCCTGAAAGCCAACTGCATTTCTATAGCAATTATATTCCCAATAAGGGACATAGGGAGAAGGTCATTTCCCCCATTTTCCGGGTTCGAAAACAGACACCCAGAAGAAACCCGTGACCTGCCCATGTGTTGAATGGGTGAAACCATGTGTTGGCAGGGCCACTCTGGGGCCTCTGAGGGCTGCTGGGTCCCATCTTCCACAGACTCCCCCAGCAGGGGCAGCTTACATTTCAGATCCAGCCTATCCACCTCCACTTTGCTGCGAAGCTTCAGCTGCCCACTTGGGTTCTTGATGGTCCCAAGAAACTCATAGCACATGGTCTTCTCAGCTGGACACGCAGGCTTCTTGACCGCCAGGGCCATGGATATGGGGCCCACTGGCTCGCTGCAACCCTCCTTGCCAGAGGAGTCCTTCTTGCTCTGGGACTGCTGGCTGAGAAGGAGGCTCTCTCGGCCCTTGGTCGGCTCCTTGGTGCCAGGGTTCTGTTCTACAGCAGGAAGGAAACTGAGTCAATGGCACTGAAAGGCCAAGTGCTGGCTGCCAGATACACCTTTCTGTGGACTAAGGGAGGGTTCCTCCATAGCATACACCTCTAGGGTCTCTCTCCTAGCCAAACACAAGCCCAGTCTGTTCCCTGGAGACGTCGCAGACCGCTGCCCATCCTGACATACCCCTCTCACCCATCTGTGCATCCATCTGCCCAATCCTTCTTCCTTCCATCATTCTTTTCCTTTCTTCTTCCCACCCAAACACCTTCCTTTTCCTCTTTTCTTTCCCCCTCTCCCTTGCCCCTCCTTTCCTTCCTTTCTACCTTTTTTCTTTCGTCTCTCCCTCATTTTCCCCTCCCTTCCTTCTTTCCAACCATGCAGAGTGCCAGCCTCAGGACACAAAGCTGACTTGGACACAGTCCTTGCCTTTGCGGAGCACCGGGCTCAGTGGGGAAATGCACGTTCCTGCAGAGCCTGTGACCTGAGCCGCGGGCGGGCCCCTCCCCACACACCCCACTCCTCACAGGTGATTCAGCTCTGTTGGCAGCACCAGGCCCTGACCCGAGTGGCAGGGACACTGTGATGAGTCACAGCCAGACTCAGCCCTGCAGGAGCACACAACAAGGAGGAAGAGAGAGACAGACCCAGAAATAACTCCAGGACAAGTAGATGCGGACCATGAGGTGACAGAGGGACATGGTGGGAGAAGAGGGTGGCTGCCACAGCTTCTGTCTGAGAGGGTCAGAGCCCTTCCAGAAGTAAGTGGGCTTTCAGGGAGGCCTTCCATCAGGGACATGGGGGTGGGGGAGGGCGCACGGCAGGCGAGGGTGGCCACATGCCAAGTGCAGGGCCATCAGACATATAGTGTGTCACTAGATATGGCTGGTGCTGGCTTCAGGTGCCTCTCCAGAGAGCATGAGGGTCCTCTCATGTGAGGATACCATCTGGACTACCACGGGCCCCTTCACAGCAGTGGTTTTCACCCATATCCTTTTTAGCAGTGGAACTCTTTCTTCAAACCAAATTAAGTGTGGGGGGGATTATACATAAATGCATTTGTCTGTTTTGTAAGGGGTTTTCCCCTGAAGCAGGGGAGAAGGCCTTGCTCCCCCAGCACCTCTCACTCCTTCCCCAGCTCAGGAACTTGCAGGCACCCATGTTGCTGGACTGGGACACACAGCAGGCCCCCTGGATCATTCTGGAAGGACCGGTGCCCAGTTTACTAGCTGGGGGCAGATCTGATCCCACCAGCTCTTGCCTCCCCCAAGCCCAGGGACCTTCCAGTGGGTCTGGACAGACCTGGGCCTGCCCTCCCAGTACCAGCCCAGCAAAGGAAAGAGCTGCTCTAGCCTGAGCCAATTTAGGAGAAAATGACATTTTTAGCAAAACATGTCCCTAGAGTTTCTTCCATGAGTTTCTCTGGTTGCCAAGTTTAGCCCCCAGCCAGTGTGCAAAAATAACAGTACCCACTAATAATAGCCCTTTCCCCAGAGACCCACACACCTGCAGTCTCTCACACCCCCAGTCGCCCAAAACACGCTTGTCGTGTGCTCGTCTCCAAAGCTCCCTCATCCTACATCTGTGCACACAGACATGCACATTCCTGCCTGTCACTCCTCTGACTCATTTGCATGTGCACAAGTACTTCACACAAGGTGGACGCACACACAAATGCAGACACACAGACACATGCAGACATACTCCCATCTGCATTTTCTCTGACAAATACACTTACACATGTGAAACTCCCTTTGATACACCTCTGCCCACGCATGTGTACACTCAGACACACAAATGGTGGGGAGGGTGGTTGGGACACACGACCTCCAACCCAGAAGCCATCTCTGGGCCCTGGAGAAGAAGCAGAGAGGAAGGTCCCCTCCCTCCAGGGCCTCATTCCTCTCAGCCATATGGCCTGAGTCCCCAAAGAGCCCTCTGGCTCCTAGAGGCCTTCCCAGGCCCCAGAGTCGGCTTGCTGCCCACATCTCTGACTCCTTGGCCTTTCTACAGTACTCTGGAACACAGCATGTCCTCTAGCATGACTGGTTCCTATTTTCACAGGGGGATGGATATGGGGCCCCCCAAGACAGGCATCTCTCAGTTATCCATCCCGGTTCACAGGCTGGGGGAAATTTTTCTTTTGGTGGACATGAACATGGTCCACTCTCCTAGTGAGTGCTGACTGTTCATGAGGCTGCTGCCACCAGTCTGCCTTCTTGGAACCCCCCAGTCTGAGTGGCTGGATCCGAACAGGCACAAAATGTGGAACTGGGAGTCAGGAGGGGGAGATGTAGGAGGTGGCTGGCTGGATCTCCTGGGAAGGCTGTGGACTCCTTGATTAGGGATGGAAATGTACTTTTCTAAGGCCCTGGGGTTCCAGGGCACAAATCCCAGTGCCAACAGTCTGGAACACACCTGGAGCATTTATACATTCACCCACCTGCCCCAGAGACAGGACCAGGCTCATTCGTGGTCAGAACGGGCACCTCCCTTGGAAGTCAAACGACCGGAGCTACCAGTCAGCTTTCTCTCCTATCCAGCTTAAAGTCCCCATGCCGCAGGGAGGTTCACCCGGGACTCAGCTAGGACACCGCCTTCAATGTACCCTGGATGCCTGCTGGACTCAAAAACCAAGCCAGTTACCAAACCTGCCTGTACATGCTGTTCTGCAAGAAGTCCGTGATGACTCTCTTCTCAAAGCATGCTGGGATCAAGGCCACATGCTTGCTTACACAAGTGGTGCTCTAGTCTCAGGCATCCAGTAGAGGCCTGTGAGCGCTAGAAGCAGCTTGTACCTGGGAGCTGCACCCACCAGAGGCCACTAGGTTCTACGCTGTACAGAGATGTCTCACTTATCTGCTACCACCATGAATGGCTTTCTGGTAAATTTCTCCTCCCTGTAGGCCCCTGTTCTCCCAGCCCCACTCACCCATCAAGTGATGCCTCTCCATGGCACAGTCTGCCTTGGGCTTGGAGCAGATCTTGGCAAACACTGGGAGCTGCCTCCTCAGAATAGGAAGCTTGTCCGGGGCTGTGGGAGGAGGGAGGGGTGGCAGGAGCAGGCACGGACCCAGCCCTGAAGGCTCCCTGGGTCCGGGGCCACTGAACATGCTGTTCTGCAGGAAGTCCTTGATGAGCCTCGTCTCCTCCTGCACCTTCTTGTTGTCGGGGGCCTTGGATGCTTCAGTGGACTTCAGTGGGAACTGGGCCAGCAGTTTTCTGATCTCCGAGTTGGAGGCACCCAGGCTGTGACCCCCATCCTCTGCCCCCTTGGCACAGTTGATCTTGGCAGCACACAGGTTGCCCGTGACCGCAGGCATGGCAGAATTGCAGTCTTGCCCACTGCCGATATCAGACACGGCCACCTTTGGCTCCAGAAACTTGTCACTGGTAATGACGGGGGCCTGTGAGCATCCACTGCTGCCTGCCACCAGAGGAGGCATGAGAAGGGAGGGAGCTGGCTGTCTAGGCCCCTCTGGAGAGCCTCTGGGTGCCTCCAGGTCTCCTGAGCTCTCTGTGACCAAGACGAGGTACTCTTTGGTGAGGCTCAAGAACTCCTGCTCCACCAACCGGGAGATATCGTCTTTGCCATGGTTGAGCTCCAGAGCTCTGCTAACAGGTCAGAAAGACAGACGGTTTTAGTGCCAGCTCACTGGGGGTGACTGCATCAGGGCCCAGGCCACAAGGAAAAGGAATGGAGAAAACGTATTTCTAGGTAAGAGAAACCTGTTTTTCTCAAGAGAGAATATGGGCAGGCAGTGGTTTCCCAAGAAGTTCCTAAGCCACGCAAGGGGGAGCAGAACCAAGAGCACAGCTCTGGGAATCGGGACACCTGGGTCCTCTCCCAATAGCATGTCTTGACAAATGAGCTGAGCCTTAACTTCAGTCCATTCTTCCTGGTTTAGTTGTGCCCAGGGCCTGAAGCAATAAAACACCCAGCGGCAGAGGGGCGAGGAGTGAGCCAGCAGCTCCGAGCATGGAGTCCAGAGCACTGAGGCTGAGCCGGAGGAAGCCCCCAGTTTCACTGCAGCATGGCAGTGTTAGAAGGACAGTGGAGGGAAGAGCGAGAGCTCATGAATTTCATGGCCCTGGCCAGGGTTGCTCAGCATCTCAGCACCCCTGTCTCTTCATCGAATTTACAGGAATATCACAGGTGCAAAGCACTTTGGACAGTGCCTGGCACAGACCGAGGGCAACATAATTGTCAGCCAGTATGTCTACATTCATGTCAGCCTGGCTGGGACCCTGGATCCTGGATTCCACACTGTGGCCCCATGGATACTGTGTTCACCCTGGCTGGTGTGGCCCTCTGACCAAACCTTGGCTTCTGACTGAGCCCCGCTTCCTGGGAGCCCTTGGTTGGTCCCTGTACCTATTCACAAGCATCTCCCTATATCTAAACACTGGCCTTTAACTGAATCTCAGACCCTGGGCCTCTGGCTGGACCCTTGATGGCCTGCGCCAGCCTGATAGGGCCTTATGGTTCTGTGGGTTGTAAGCTCCTGGTTGATGGCTCTCTCCAGGTGTAGGAGAGGATGGCGATCCTTCCAGACTGGCTTGTGACTCAGCCTGCCCCACCGGCCTCCTTGGCAAGGGGACCCTGTCCTCCCTGGAACTCCCAGGAGAACCATGGCTACCTAGCTTAAAGCCATCTGCGGTCCCTACTTGATGGGCTCTTGTGAGGGGTAGAGGTTGTGGTCTACACAGAACATTCTGGAAACTGCTCTGTGCTCTGCCTCTAGGAGAAGGTGGTGAAGGTGGTGAAGATGAGGCAGCAGGAAAAGCTAAAGCACCACATGAGCAGACCGTTGCATTTGGGGAGGGCCTGGCACACTCCTGCTCTAACAACCCATCCTAAGGGCCCAGCGGTCCCCAGAATGGTGATCACAGAATGCCCCCAGCAAGAACGTGTCTTCCCGGTAATGCTCTTTCTGTGTGAGCACCTGCACACACACACAGAGGCACCAAATGACTCAGATGTCACCACACACAGGACCAGGGTAAGGGTCACTGCATTGACAACCCATCAGAATGGACACAGGCTATGGTTCCACAGGCTTCCTGCCATGCTGAGCACTAACCCCTTAGTTGCTGGGTCCTGATAAGACACAGGGGTTCCCGGGGAAGGGGTTGGTGGCCAGGGCACTTGGGGTGCACGGGGAAGAGCTAAAGATGTTTGGGAGTGTGTCACTATTCTAACAAGTATGACAGCTTGGCCTCCTGAGCACCAGCCCCCCCACACAGCCTTGCTGAGAGGCAGAGAGCAGAGCAGAGGAAAGCAGCTTCCACCAAAGGGACCTGGGTCTCAGTCAGGCTCTTCTGCCTGTTTCATGTCAGCCCTGGGGACCTCAGGGGCCTCCCCTGTAACATGGGTGTGGCACTGATGGCACCCACCTTGTGGAGGGTGTGGGAACTTGGTGAGGTCAGCCACGTGCGAGCTCAGGACAGTGCCATGCACCCAGGAAGCTCTCCCACAAGTTGGCTGAGAGCCCTGGAAGCTCCCGGTGGGCCAGCAAGCCTGTGTGCAGGCAAGGCCAGCCTCTCCTCTTGCTTTCCCCTCTCCTCCATGCTCTCTTTCCTTCCCCTCCCGCCTGCCCACTCTCCTCTCCCTTCCTTTCCTCCTCCCCATGTCTAGACTTAGTCTATAAATAGGCCCCACTTTCACTGCCACATCCCTGCAAACAATTGGAATAAAGAGGCTGCCAGCCCAGGGTCCCAAGTTTTAGATCCCCACCCTCTCTTCCTCTTCATCCTCCTCCTCAAAGGGAACAGGTGAGTCTCAAGTCAGAGAAACCAAACATTTGTAGTGTTTGCCTCTTCTCCCCCCAAAACCTTGCAAAGCAAGTTAGAAACCAATAGATTTTCTGAATTATAAAGACTTCCTACAGTTACGGTAATTTTTAAAATTTGTGGTGATGGTATCATGGTTATACTTAAAGAATAACCACAAAAAAACAGTCCCTGTCTCTTAGAGATACATAGTAAAGTATTTACAGATAAAGTTATGTCTAGGATTTGCTTTAAACTTAACCTAGCAGGATGAGGGAAAAGATGGGGGTTTAACAGAGGAAACAAGGTGGGCCACATGTTGATTATCACTAGGGCTGGGCAAGAGGTACGTGGGTTCATTACACGGTCTTTGCTCTGCTTTTGTCTGTGTTTAGTTTCTGTTTTGTTTTGTTAAATAAAAATGTTATGTAATAGATGCACACAGAAAAGTTTCATCACTAAATCCTTTAAAGTACCAGCTGCCAGGAGAAGTCAGAGTGGATTGTAAAAGACCCACAGGGCCCCAGAATCCAGGCACCAAAAACCAGCCCATGGGGGGGTCCTTTCTCCGCACCTTTGAGGACACTCCTACCCCTCCCAAACCCAGAGTCAGGATGAGGGAGGAACCCAGCAAGACCTGGGCAGGAATCTCTGCTCATAGTCCTGGGTCACTCTCCGCTGGACACATCAAGCAGTCAATGGGACTCTAAGGAAACTGGCATTCCCAGAATGAGGGCGTGCAGTGCTAAGAACAGAGGGGGGCCTCTGTGTGCCTCTGCAGGCTGCTCCAGAGTACCCAGCCTTCTCCAGGACGACCTCCGCAAACTCCTATTTCCTTGGCATCTGTCCTAAATCCTCTACAGGCCAGACAGGGAGCCAAGCACCCACAGTGAGTCCTCTCCATACCCTGGGTAATAGACAACTTCATCCCCACTTCACAGATGTTCCCCAGTTCCAATGCAACCAAGGGTTTGGCTGGTTCATCCCATCACACCAGCCTCACAGGGAGGATCACCATGGTGAATCCGGAGCCTGTCATCCGTGGCATTAGCTGTCCCTGACAGCACCATGTCAGCTGCATATCTGATGAGCACAACTTCTGGGTCTTCTGCTAATTTATGGATAGAAATGTTGAATGGCAGAGAGACCAGGGCTGAACCTTGGAGGCACTGCTGAGAGTCCCCGCCGCCCGCCAAGTCTGACAGTAATCCTGGATCAACACTTCGGGGGAATGAATCCATCCAGTCACTATCCCCCCATCTGCACTCCTCCAAGGCAGCCTTCATCAAACACCTCGCCATACGTGATTCACACACCATCACGAGTCCCTGATCAAGGGCCTCCTCCTTACTGGTCCCCTCCACACCCAAGAAAACCAGATTCATTTGCTTTCATTTGTTCTAGTAAACTGCATGCTCACAGAGAGGATATTCTCAGAATTCCGATTTACACATAGGATAAAATCCAAACTCCTTTCTGACCCTGTCACCTCTACCTGCTTTGACTCCCCCTTCTTCCAGCTGCTCTGCGGCTTTCGATGTTCTGTGACATGCCAAGTTCATTCCAGCCCCTGGGCCTTTGCTTTTCCTGTGGAATGCTAGCTCATGCCTTGACTGGCTTTTTCTCATCACTCAAGCCTCAGTTCAGTTTCATATTCTCAATGTAGCCTTTCCTGCCCATTTTCTAAAAGTGTCCCCCTCCACCACTGACTAGGCACCGTCTGCTCCATCAGTCTGTTTCTTTGCTTCATACTATTTACCACCATCCTACAGCATCTTCTGTATGCCTTACTCCCCACAATAATATATACCCTGAGGTCAGGGACTGTACCTTGTTCTCTGCAGAGGCCTTGGGGCCTAAAGCAGTGCTTGGCATATTACTCCAGCTCAGCAAGTATTTGTTGAATAATGAATGAATCAGCCAGTGAGCTTGTCCTCACCCTCTTGTCCATCTTTTGGCACTCTGGAAGTCAAGAGCTCTGGTGCCAAAGACTGCCCAACTTCTTGCTCTGGTTGCAAACTGCCTGGCCTTGATTCCATTTCCTGGCCTCCCATCTCACACCCCATCTCTGGCCTGGCATCCCTGTGTGCTACTCAGATGACACTGATCACCCTGCTTAGCCCAGGCCAAAGAAGCCCCAACCCGAGCAAGGCATTCCCACGATAGGCCCCACGTAGAGAACACCTGACTCTGAGCTGCCATCTGGGAGCTCACAGAAAGATTTCTCATTCTCCCCACAACTTTGCAGGGCTCAGCGTCGAGCCTGCTCAGCTGTACTTCCTGGAGTCTATGCTTTTTTCTCTTCCTAAGAAGTTTTGCCGAGGCTGGCACCTCTCCTGTGCTATTTGCTTTTCCTTTGAGTTAGTAAAAACCATACAATCTGCCACAGACTCTATCTCAGTGAATCATGCAGGGAGGTTAACCCAGCTTCCAGGTGCTGACAAAGGAAGCAAGTGAGAATTGGGGCTGTGGCTCTGGCTGCTGCCACCACCCCTGCTTTCTTTGCCCACCTCCAGAAATGACAGGTGTCTGGTGGTGGCTCTGCGTGCGGGTGCTGTGTATTATTTCTGCATTTGCAGTGTACAGAGTCATAAAAATAAAGGCTACTGACTGGCTGGCACCCCTTCCCAGAATAATGACTAAGCAAGCATGCTGGTAGCTCCCCAACAGCAGTTTTGTGTACACGATAACACAGAGCAAAGATGAAAACTGCTATTCATCTAAGCCAAACAACAGGAAAATGCAAGCAGAAAATTGTTAGTGCTGGAAGAGGACACCAAAACAAATATTTTCTTCCCACTGTGGCATTTCAGACCAACGACAAACCTGGTTGCCAGGCCCGG